TTTTTTTTTTTTTTTTTTGAACTAGCCCATGATACATTGTCCGATGGATAATTGTACAAGAAGTACGATTGGCCGAAAAAAGAAAATTAAGTTTGTTTGCATCGCATTTGGGTCGAACTACACGGCATTATATCGCGCTACATCGTTTTGCATTCCATTACGTTCCAGTCTTTTCCGCAGGGGATGTGCGCGAAGTGGCCCGGTCGTCTTTTATTTTTTCTCAAATGGCTTTTTTTGTCAATGCCTTTAAACCCGCACCGCAAATAAAAGGGTTGCACTTTTTTTGTGGATGGCACAGTGTCGACGCGGGGACTGCGGCACAAATGAGGCCGCACTGGAATGTAGGTTTTGCTTACCACATGCACGTGTACCTCTTTAAGTGATACATACACACGCACATGCGAATGTGCATATGTGCACATTTTTCCCCAATGCGCTCTTTGCCCTGGTCTCTTCAAATGTGAAAATAAATACACAAATGGTCCACTCGACGGAACTCCGTTTTGCAGCTGCGACCTCGCACTGCGCAGCACAAAGCGGGGTTTTACGCAAAATGCTAATTTTTTTTACAAACCCGCAAACATATATAGTGGAAAATAGGCAAAAAGTGTGGCTACAAAACGAAGGTAATGTTATCTCTACATGCAATTCTGTTGTAACAGAATGGACCAGATTAGTGTGCAGATAGTGCCAATTTTGCATATCCACGTCGAAAGGGTGTAAAAAAAAAAAACACATGTGCAGAAAGGGAGGTAGAATCTGCGAAAGTCTTGCGCACCGGTTGTGCACCTCTTAATGTTACCTTTGAAGCGAACACGGGAAGAAGGGCAGAGGGGGGGCAGCAGTCTCCATGTGGACGAAAAGATCTACGCCCACATGAAAATGTTAATGAGGATATTTATATTTATTCACGCTTAAGTGAACGTTTTTACCCCATGTCAGTGGGCATTGAACCGAAGAAACGCATTATCGCATGGCTATTCATAAAAAAAAAGTACCCGTTTTTGCCTGACCCATTCATAAAAAAAAAAAAAAGAAACATCCATTTCGTCTGACCTGTTCATAATTTTTTTTTCCCATAATGCATGTAGCTACCACCGTTCATACAACATCGGAAATGGATTAAGAGCAACAAAAAATGGTTTTTCACTGATCGGGACAGTGTGTTGACTCTTTTAAGCACGTTCATTCTTATGGGAGTGTCTACAGGAAAACATATTCGATTATGAATGCGCCATTTTCCACTTTGTTCTGCCCTTAAATGGGCCAACATGATATCATACAAATTTTGCAAACAGCCAAATGGTTGTTCTAGCTAAAAAAAAAAAAAAAAAAAAAAATACGCCAATATGTGTAAATGTGTGTACACACATCCGACGAGTTTAATTGAAACCAGGAAAGACGCCACAATTCCTTCGTCACGAAAAGAGGTTATTCTACATTTAAGAGGTGTAAAAGAATAGAGTGTCCTCCTCGAATTACTCTCCCCCATTTTTAAGAAACATTTGCTTTCGTGCGAGTGTAATCCTTTTGATGTGCTCCAAAAAAAAAAAAAACTTAAGAGGGTCGTCTTTGCAGGCGCTTTTTATCTTTACGTGGAAGACACGTCCACGCTGCAGCAGTTGAGATTTGTTCTGTTAATGTTAGGGTGTGATGTGCTCCACCCTGATGATTTTTCTTAACATGCTAAAACCCTGCTTTTTGTTTTCTCCAAATTGTGCCTGCGTCATTTTAGGAGAACGGCCTGTCCGTCATTCGCAACATAGTATGTGCATTTTTTTGGTTTTATTTTTCTTTTCGGTTGTAAATCTCGTCTTTTAAATTTCATACTTGGCAACTTCGAATCATCTGTCCCTCTTTCGGAAGGGTGTTTCCCCTCTCAGGGAAAGCACCTAGGGCTGTCCGCGTTTATGAGACGTCGTCTACCACTCGAATGTTTCCCGTGTATATTGCCTCCCCTTTACGTTGCATACTTGCCTTTTTTTTTCTCCCACCCCTTTCCCCTTAAAAGATGGCGAAATCCACAGATTTTAAAAACTTATTTTTGCTGAATTCAATTCATTCGCTAATTTTACTGATCTTTATGGAAATTTTTTTCTTCCTTTTGGATGGAATAAACACGTTTGAGTTAATAAACCTCCAGGCGAAGATATCTAAAATGATATGGTGCACCTTCTTTGTCATGCAGATTGGAATCTTAAAAGTAGCGGAGGTGTTTTCTAGAAATTCAAACGGGAAAGAGATTGTCCGTGTGCATTATCTGTTCATTATATACGTTTTTTTGTTTCCTCTTTCGTCTGCCCTTTTGCTCACATCCTCCTTGTCCTGGTCGAAGACAGTTTATTTCATCTGTATTTTGAGCCTGTCTACATCTGTTAAAATAAAAGGTCTATTATTTATCGGCATAGTTACGTTAATCAGCGGGTTCGTGCGCTTTTATAGAAGCATGCCAACGTTCCCCATCGCCCTGTGTTTCACTCTTCTTCTGCTTGTCCATATTGTAGTATGTTTCATCGTTCACCTTGAGCTGTATACCGTTGCTAACCAAATAGCTTACATTAAGAAGAGGCCGCTGCGTGCTTTGGACACCGTGGAGCCCTACTTCCAGGATCTCGAGAAGAAGGCTATCTTGATAAGGAACAATTTGATATACTGTCAGCAGAATAATATCAGCGTGGATATACTAGGTTTGACTCGAAGGAAAAAGAAAAAAAAATAAAGCGGCGCCATTGAGTGGCACACGACTGTGTTCCCTGTGCGTTGTGCGACATGTGGGTGTGCATCGAGACTCCGAGGAGTAATCACCACGGCGCGCAAACCACGTAACCTCTGGCAGCTTCACTACTTCGCCGCTTCACCCCTTTCACCGCTTTCCCCCGCAGGGAACAACCTGTTCGAGTACGAGCTGAACAACGGAATCAAAAAGATCAAAACGATAAACCAAAGCAAGAGTAGGCTGGACCCGCATGGTGACGACCTCATCAGTGTGCAGTGCGAGGCCCCCCTGGACGTGAGCGACGTAAACTGCTCCAGTGTTAACAACTTTGGCATCGAGGGAGAGAAGCAGAACCTAAGGAATGAAAATGCTTCTTCGTTCCAAAGGGGGGAAGCATTATCGGGGGGACACAAATCTAGGGATCAGACACAGGTCGGCAAAAGGAAGGGGAGAAGAAAAGTGCATCCTTCGAAGGAGTTGCCTCAGGGGTGCACACCCTGGGGAGAGCAAAGCGGAATAGCTGATATTCACAGACCAAATCGAATAAGAAGTGCAGGCCATAATGATCACCTGGGAAGTGACTTACCACAGCTGAAGCACCTACCCTCGCGAAGGCACCGAAGTGGACTCTCAAAAAGGAACATATCCAATTTGAGCAACTCCAACGGAAGAATATTTGGAGAAAAACTGGACAGAGCACAGCCTCAATATTATGGAGAGACATACAAAAAGGAGATGGTCCAGAAGCACTTCAGCTTGCTCCGAAGTGAACTAGGGAGATTTCATAGAAGAAGAAATATTATACTCTCCGAAGAGTTAAAAAAAAAAATTACGTACATATATTTTGACCGAGATGGAAAGGTTAAGCGGTCCAAAATTATTCCCCTCTATGTGCTGGAGAGACACAACTTGAGTAACATCTCGGGCTACCTGAGGAGGGAGCACAGGTCCGCCATAAATGGGAACAACTATAAGATGCTCGGTCTGTTGCAGAAATACCCGGGATTGAGCATGGGGAGCCCCGACAAAGGGTGCGACACCCGCACTTGCACCAGTACCAGCAACCAGAGCAGTGTCTGCCTGGTCGGTAGTAACCGAAACAGCCGCGAAAAAGGCAAACTTCACATTTTCAACTCCGATGTGATGAGAACTGAGGGGAAGAGGGACGCATCTAATTACGACCATGGATCGTCCTGCGCATCGGTGGGAGGGTCCAGTAAAAAAGGGGATCATCACTGTCAAGTGGCGGACCAGGGCCTAAAGAGTGCCAGGATGTTTTACCTCATCCCATCAGCTAAACCAGACGGCGGTGGAGCGAAACGGAACAAAGACACAAATTTTAAGGCAAAGAAGAAAGGGAACCACCCTTCTCACCCCCAATCTGCTAGCAGCAGCGGTGATGGAAGTACGATCGCTCTGAAGCAAAAGTCCCTATTTCATGTAAATACATTGATAAAAAAAGACAAATATATTATCCAACTGCAGGAGTCAAGTGATGATAGTCTGCCCACTTCGAACAACGTCTTCTACATTGACGATGTTGTGGATGGCTCCTCCGGCACGGAGATGGGGGCGGATAGCGAAGATGGCAGTGCCAAGTGTGGCACATCCTTCGATGAGAGCGTTAATGCGGGATGGAGGAACAGACGGGGCGGAAGAGGCAAGGTTGGCGACAAGGGGGATGCGGCCAACATGGGAGAAGAAGCGGTTTGTTTCGTTAGCTACACAGGGGAGAGACGTAGAGAGTCCCCCCTCCCAACGGAACGGCCAAACGGAGCGCAAAAAATGGAGAAGAAAAAAAGCAACTGCTATTACGGCACAAAACTATCACTGATGGGAAAGAAGAAAAAGAAAGAAAGCCATTCCGAGATAGCCCCTCGAAAGGAATTTCTCCTCTATTTTTATGATGTCATTTCGACGGATGGTACGGACGAACTATACGGGGTGAATAAGAAGAGGTGTCACCATTGGAAATGGTTTCTCTCTTTTGTGAATCCACTGGGGAGTCTTCTCAGGTGGGCAAAGGGGAGGGTTGCAAAGTGGGGGGTTGCCATATGGGGGTACGTATCCGGTGCAGGAGGAGGAAAATACTGGGCGCAATATAACGAGGCCTTTTCCACAGCCGAGTGGAGACAGAATATTAGAGACAGCGAGCTGGATTACATATTAAAATATAAGAACTTCACCAAATGGTACAGATATTGGGTGAGGAGCATCCTGTTCCGTTACTACAAGAGCACACTGTTTTTTACCCTTCTCTTATTGTTGCTAAACGTGTTCACAGTGTTTCTACAGATGGAGCTGCTTTCCTTGCTAGTGGGAGCTGATCACGTGGGGGTAAAGTGGCCAAACGTCTTTTATAAGGACAAGCCAGTGCTCCTCATGAGGAGGAAGTTTAACTTAAGCAACATAATCGATGAGTACATTTTTAATCGACTCCTTTGGGTGAGGATACCAATGCAGGTTGGGTTAAACGGCCTGCTAATGTTACCATCCTTCTTTGTATCGAATTACAGACATGTGAATTGGCTGAACGTGTGCTCCATTCTCAACTGCCTCGTTAATATCTTCTTCGGGATAGTCGACATTTCATATTCACTCAACAGAAGGCTATATAACATGGAGGAGCTTTCCCATTTGCTAAATTACTACAACGTATTTGACCTCTTTCTGGTTGGCAAGCTAACGATGAGCATTTTTTTAATCCCCTTTGTCACGAACTTTAATGACTCCAAGACGAATGCTTTGGTTTGTCTCAGCTGCGTCTGCTACATTGCCACGATTTACAGCGCCTTCAATCCTTTTTCCTTTTCCATCAAGCTGATGTATATCACTAACTTTGTGCTCCTCATCGCGACGGCCGCGTCGACTGTGTATTATTCGGGGTACGGCCGCGGAGCAGCAGTTAAAGGGAAGACCCCGGCACGGCGATCTGGTGCATAATGCTCTCCTGCACAACGCTAACCCATGCGTCATGCTCCCACACTGCACCACCTCACTACACTGCACCATCACACCGCCCCCCTTCTCAGGCTGATCGCCAAATCCCGCAAGATGCTCTTCGTCAAATACGTGCTGCCCTACTTCATATACCTGACCTTCCTGAACACGGACCCGAGCATCCAGATGGAGATAAAGGAAAAGCGGCTGGAAGACTAACGCCCCTCCGCGCATCGACCACTTCTACACTTCGTTGTGCACGCCATGAGGGAGAGCCTTACACAACAATGTGGGTGTATATTTGACAAAGAAGAGAAAAAAAAAAAAAGAAAGCGGCCCATCGTAATCATTTTTCCCTTGCCAAGCCATTTGTTCACTTTGTGTGACTAGCCTTTTTTTTTTTTTTTTTTCTTCTCCCAAGGGAGAGCGATTTCACCGAATTGAGGGCTCCCCTCTAGATGGTTCGGCCTCTTCCTGCCAGTGCTAACTGTGCTGTTCTATAGTTCTCTCCTGTGCTACTCGACCCCTCTGTGGTGTTCTCCTTTACTGCTCCCCTGTGTTGCTCCCCTGTACGACTTTTCCACACCTCGACTGGCGAACGAGGTCTATGCCATCCCCGATTGGTGTCGCCTCATTTTTGCCTCCAAACCCTTGGAACGCTTCGAATCCACCAAACTGTCCATTGTATGTGCGTTACTGCAGAGAGGTAACTGATCGATCCCGGTTCGTTGCCCCCAGGTGAAGCCACCTCGTGTAAATCGCGAATCCTCCTTGGGAGATATAAACGCGCGCGTTGTGCTGAAACACGTGGTCGAAAAATCGATTCTATGTTAAGTGAAGGAGGAACAAACCAGTTTGGTTATCTCGCCCTTTCCCTCGTTGAAGGATGGAGAAGAAAAGGACTAACTTGGGTCTGAGCTGCTGTTCCATATCATCCATCCCGCTGGACTATGAAAAAAACAAGAGGAAGATCATCGAGAGTATAAAAAGATGCAAAGAGCTAAAGTGCAGCATCCGAATCGGTGGTGAATTGGAACTGTGCGGTGTGAGTTGCAAGGACAGCTTCAAAGAGGTTGAAGATATGCACGAAAATTGCTGGTATTATTTAAGCGAACTGATGAAGGAGAAAGGTACAGGTGGACCCCTCATGGAGAATATCCTGTGCTTTGTCAGCATGCCCGTGTATTTCAAGAAGAAGCTATACAGCTGCCAAGTGGTAATATATAGGAATAAAATCGTTTTGCTGTCTCCCAAGGAGTGCCTAAGTGATGAAGAGAGGAAGTACTTCGCTCCGTGGTCGGCATTGGCAGGAAAGGGAGTTGGTGGAGGTATCGAAGAAGGGGGGGAAGCTGCTGGAGAGACCGGAGCAGCAGAAGGGACCCCTCCCATCGGCCATTCGAGGTCCGTCCAGTTTAATAACTCCAGCGTCCAGATTCTCGGTAGGGGTCTGCAGACTTACGCACTTCCGAAGTGTGTTCAGGAGGTAACAAATCAGACGGAGACCTACATCGGGAGGGCACTAATACAGATGGGCGATTTAACCATTGGGTATGCCTTTTTAGATGACTTGATTCAAGTTGAGAGGGGCGTGGTGGTGGATGCTCGGGTTGAGCATTTTAACCGTCACGGGTTAGAGGACTTGAAGGGTGATACGAGCGGTACAAGCGGTACGAGTGGTGGTAGTACGAGTGGTTCCTTCCGCGGTGACGGCGCCACTGGGGAGATTCACCGCCTCTTTGAGCAGGATCCCGTGAAACTGAGCCTGCGCGGGGGAGATGCTTCCCTCTCTGTTGGGCATAGCAACGTACCGCTCAGCCAAGTGGATGTCCTCTTGGTGAGTGGCCACGTCACCAATGAGTTGCTTCTGTTTAAGAAATACTTCATCCAGATGATGCAGCTGACAGAAGGGTATCCCCATATGGTCCTCAGTTATAATAGCAACTCAGGGTGCGATAACTATTTTTACAAATACGATGGATTTTCTTTCGTCAGTCAGAACAACCAAGTGCTGACTAAGAACGCGAGGTTTACCTTTGATGAGGTGCAGGTTGCATCCGTGAGTGTGTCTCTACCGATGGATTCTCACCCAGAGAAGGGAAGCAAAACGAACCTACCCCCCATCCTCAAATTGGAGAAGTTGCAAAAAAGTGTGGAGAGTAAAACAAGTGCAAATGGTAGCCATGACGGAGAGTGCATTTTTTCCTACAACAAAGAAATGGAGTTGTATGTAAAATATTCCAAGGAAGCCATTTTGGCGAACCTGCCACAGAACTTTAACTGGCAGATGTACACAAAGAATAACGCACTGATGTGTACCTTGCTGAGAAAATATCACCCCAGTCCGGAGGATTGTCAGTACCAGTTTGGCAACCAGATGTGCGCCCTGCATAATGTGTATGAGGAGCTGTGCTTTAATATTTCCCTGTTCTTGTGGCACATTTTGCAGCTGACCAATGCCAAGGGATTTATGTTGGCCCTGTCCGGGGGAGTCGATTCTGGGTTCTGCGCCTGCATGGTTTATCTTCTCTCCATAATGATCGAAATGGGGATGAGAGAGAGGGGGATCGCCGCCCCGGCGGAAGGCTTCGCGGGGGGGTGCGTTGACCGACTCGACCGCTTCAACACGGAGCAGTTCTGCCTCAAGCTGAAGCGGCTCCTAATTGATGCGCCCTGCCGGAAGGCGATATGCAACAAGCTGCTGAACACTCTGTCTCTTCCCTCGAAGAACAGCAGCGAAAATACCAAGTCTTACTCAGAGCAGCTAAGTAGAGCCATAAATTCATACCACACTGTGTACTGCATCGATGGATTGTTTGATTTTTTTAAAAGTGCGGGGAGGAACTTCCTTAACGAAGAAATGAAGTTTAAAACGGAAGGAGGAAGAAACTATGAGGATCTATGTCTGCAGAATGTACAGTCGAGGTCGAGGCTTCTAATCACTTACTTCTTCTCCCCCCTTATATGCCAAAAAAGATATGCACCGCTGAACCTGCACAATGAATTCCTACTCACCATAGCTACTGGGAACTTGGACGAAACGATAACTGGGTATTACACAAAGTATGACTGCTCATCGGGGGACATAAACGTCATTGGAAATGTCAGCAAAATTTTAATCAAGGAGACCATGTGTTTATTGGCGAACGATCCGACGTACGATCTATCTGTCTGCAATTCGATGAATCAGTTTCACCCCTCGGCTGAGTTGAAACCCTTGGATAATACCCAGACGGATGAGGATGATCTGAATTTGAAATATCTTGAGATGAAGCTGTTGGGTATATTGAAGCACAATTTTTCTTTGGGTTCTTCCTCCATGGTGCATTACTTATCGAGGTACTTCTGGTCCGAGGTTTTAATGAGTAGAGCTGATTTGTTGGAAAAAGTGAAGACCTTCTTCTCTCGAAATGTACAGAATACACACAAGCTCCTCATCCTTCCGCCTTCGCTCGTGGGGGAAGCGTGTGGATTGCACCTCTCCTCATTGGTGAACTTCGCGCGTGTGAATGTGGATGCGCTGAGGAGAGCAGCGGGAATTGGGTAGGCGGCGGGAAGTGGTTAAGCGGCGGGGGGGTAGGAGGTGTTAAGTGACTAGGCCGCCAACTTCCTGGCGCCGCTTCACCTCATAGGAAGTCCCGCTCGAACAGTGCGACCTGGTTGCGGATGATATCCTCCAAATTGTCTTCCCTCTTGGGGGTGGCCTCATTCAGATAGGTGTCAAAGATGAACTGATCTTCGTCACTCAGATTCTGCGTCTCGTCGAAGTTGATGGAGGTATTTAGAATTTTCTGGCTGATTAGTCGCTGATCGCGTGGGTGGGCTCTTGTGCTAGCCGTAACATCCTTTGTTGCATTCGCTGCATCCGTTCCAGCGTCTGTCGTGCCACCCACACCGCGCACATCGGTCAACTTCCCATCTTTTGCCTCGCCCTTCCCTTTACCCCTCAACAGTGTCCTCGTTTCGTTAAACGTCTTTTTTTCTATGCGTGTACTGTTAAGGGCAGCCTGTCCCGTATTTCTAGTGTCCACTCCGGAGTGAACTTTCGTCTTGAAGGTACCTTGGCGACTCCCCTTCGATGTACTTGAAATTGATTCGACGCTGGGGTTGCTTTCCTTTTTGTTGGTGACCCTTTGGGATTGCTTTGCGTCTCTGCGCTGGTTCGTCAGGGAACCCTCTTTGGCAGCACGGATCGCTGGTTCCGGCCGCCTGAGCTTCGCGCCGCCCAGATCAGCGGTGGCCATATTAGCAGTCGTCATATTAACCGTTGCCATATTAGCAGTGGCCATATTAGCTGTGTCTCTGCCTGTGTCTGTGGGTCTGCCTATGTCTTTCTGTCTGCCTGTCTCTGTGGTGGCCTTCCCCACCGAAGCTCCTCTGTGGCCTCTCCCCACTTGATGGCCCTTCCAACCGCGCGGACTGATTCGCTGGGGAATGGATGCCGCCGCGTTTCCCTCATTCTGCAAGTCACTCCCAGTCAGATCCAACCTGGACAAGCTTCCACACAAATTCGAACTGACGGTGGAAAAATTATCAGCATAATTGGAATTTAAAACGTTGTTACTGTGATCTGGGTGGCCACTTATGTTGGTCTCCAGTTGGACATCTTTATCTGGATATTCCTCCCCTTGGAGATCTCCTCGCAGATGGTCCTGATGGAGAATCACTTCCATTTTATGATCGCTGAGAGGAGCTGAAATGGACGTATCATCCCTTTGCTCGAGCTGATCTAAGTACATGTAATTATTATATTCACTCTGGATTGATTTTGACTGTTCGTAATGTTCCTCCGCTTCGTCATTTGTGTACCCCGCCTGTTGTCTTCGCGACGGCTGCGCATCTGCGTACACTTGCTCGTTTTCGCGAAAGAGAAGCTCCATCATTGGGTTGTTTCCCTTTCGTTCGATGAGAGAGTTTTCTCCCATTTCTTCCATCGTTCGATGCGCTCCACCAGGGGGTGTTCCCCCCCGTGGTGACTGCGCTTCCACTCGTGTTGAAGCCGCTCCCCCTCGTCGTGACGGCGCCTCGTCCAGGTCCCCTTCACAAATGAACGTCCTAACCGACTCCACCATCTTCTTAATACAATTGAATGTCTCCAGTTTGGCTCTTTTCAGCCTTAGTATGTCTTGGTCCATCTGAGGGGAGCACCTTAGTTTCTGTATCTGATCTGTGTAATCCGAATCCCACAAGTGATCGATCTGGTTAGTACTCGCGGAGGAGACACCACTGGAGAGGGGACTGCTGGGGTGGGAGCTTTCAGAGTGAGATCTCTCAGAGTGGGATGGGCTGCAACCCTCCTCAGAGAAGAACTTGATTCCTAATTCGGGGTAATATTTTTTTTCTTTCAATTCCTTCCTGCCCACAGGGGGAAGGTCCTCCAGGGGGTACACCCTGATGTCAATCGTTTCCATAATGGGCGAAAAAACTTCGTTCCTTTTTTTCAATTCTTCTGCAAAATACTCCATGGTGCTCTCTCCTGTGGATGCTGACCTGTCCGTCGAGATTGTCATGCGATCACTGTCACTGCGGTTGTTACGTGAGTAGAAATGGTTGGAGCTTCTCTTGGTGTTTGCCCTCGAGGGGGGTTTTCCTGCGTGGTTACCATACCGTCTGTCCATCCATTTATCCCTCCACTTGTCTCTACCTTTCTGTTGCCCACTGTTGCCTTTACGCCTCGTCTCATGAGAGGAGACGAGGCCAAAATCGCTCTCGCTGGGGAGCACACTTGACAGACTGCTATACTCGCTGCTACTACCAAGGTAATCTCCACGAAAAGTTTGGTTGTCTCCAAATTGAGCCGATCTATATGGGTCATTTAAGGCACTCCATTTGTCCAAATGTGTATGTTTGTTCCTTTGTTTAGTTTCCCCATGGTGGTATCTGCGGTTAGGAAGGTGTCGATCCTTCTGTTGGGTCACTCTCCGGTTGTGGTTGTCCCATTGGCTGTATTGCCTACCTGAGGAGAAACCATCATTCTGGATTAGGTCCAGCGAGGGGTACTTTCTTTCACTGGTGTGCATGTAGGAAGGGGGCGTGTCGCTATAGGGGCTACCTAGATGGTTGTTATTCACATCGGACAGACTATGCCCCCCCCTTTGTTCCTTCCTCCTTTTATCCATTTTATCAGTACTGGTTTGTCTTAATTTTGAGTGATCCTTTCTGCTACTGCGTTGATGAGAGGCGCATCGATGTGTTCCTTCCCGACGTGGGTCACACTCGTTAAGCGTCGGTTCTTCGTTTGACTTTATGTTTACTCCGTTGGGGGGTGCAGTGCTGGTAGCAGTGGTAGCCGCGGTCGCGGCGATCGCAGAGATGGTCACCGTAGTCGACCTTGTGGTCCCCCCCGTAGCGGGAGCGGACTTGCGCGCCGGGCGCGCGTTGTTCTTCCCCGTCCTCATCCGTTGCAGCTTCTGGTGATACTCGACTTTCACTTTGTCTAAGTTTTTCGACTTCAAGCTGTTTCTCTTTTGCTCCATTTCTTCTTTGGTGAGTTTATATTTGTCCAAGTCGTTCTGGTAACTATTCCACTCGTTGGTGTGTTTGGCCTGGCTAGCCATTTTGGCATTCTTACCTTTGGCATCATTTTTTTTTTTTTTTTTCGTCAAGATGTGCATACTGTTTTTTTTCCTTCTCATCAAAGGCATTCGTGGTTTGTTGAGATTTCTTCTTAACATTTGGCTAGTCCATTGTATTAGCTTTTTCTTAATGGTCATTTTGCTTGGGTCTTTTTTGTTCTCCTCCACTTGGTTCTGTTCGTTTTGCCGTTGGAATGCATTGTCCTCCGGCACCTCCTCCGCTTCTGCCTCCACCTGCTCGCCTTCAGCACTTTGTCCGCTTCGTTCACTTGGCTCACTTGGCCCGCTTCCCCTTTCCTGCTTTTGTTTTTTTCTTACTTTTTTGGCATTCTTTATGGCGTTTTCGAAAAAGTCTTCCACCAGGGAGTCATAGCTACTCCCGTCGTCGTTTGCGTTTTTTTTCATTCGAGCCAGAGTGCCATCAGGACAACTATCTGGCTCCTCACCGTTAAGCAAGATGGGGTGCTCCAATTGATAATCTTTTGGGTAACTAAATAGTGGGTCTTCCCTTCGGTTGGCAGTTCGGCGCAAAGAGTTTTCCCTTCCTCGGCTACCTCCCCTTCTAATTTTGTAACCTCTTACCGTCCCAGCGGTCACGTCGCTGTGCTGGCTTTCGTCAGACGGCGTCATTGTGATGACACTTTTTCGAGTTGGCCTCCGCGTGGGGAGAACGAGGTGCAAAGAGGAAAGAGGAGAGTCGAACCTACATGTGTACGCTCGCCCGTGTGTGCTTTCCGCGTCATGCTTCCAACTTGCGCGGAGAAAAGTCTCCGAACGAGTTCACGACGGTTTCATGCGATTGGGGAAGCGGTGAGAAGGTTTCAAAAATTTACAAAAAAAAAGGCGAGTTTTTTTTTTCTTTTGTTTTGGCCTCACAAATGTGCCTTTTTCGAAGAACAAAGGGTGAAAGATGTGCACGCACAAAAAAAAAAAAAAAAATACAAACCGGTATACACGGAGAGGCACCTTGGTACACATATCCACGCGAGCTAATTAATCTGCCCAATGGGAGTGAACAAACTTCGAGAGGGACTCACGGGGGGCTGAAGCGTGTAGTTAGGACCCGGTTAGGGTAATCAAAACGGGGGGGGAAAAAAAAGAGCCCACATGGGAATGGCACACATCCGAATGGCACACATGTGTATATGCACAGACGAGACCCACCGGAGTTATCCAATCCTCGAGTGAAGATGAAGTTAACTCTTCGGGGGGTGTGAGGTTTGTCTTTCTTCCGTCCTTCACCGTGTTTTCTCCGATAGGGGAACTGAAGCAGCCATTTGCCTTTCTTCTTCCCTGCTTTTTCACTAGGGGGTAAAGGTGCTTCTAATTTTTGGGGGTAACTTCATTGGGTAACTACTGAAGGTAACTGCTTCGGGGGTATTTTTTCCGACATTTTAATTATCCACCCCTTTGGACGTATTCACCAGCGCGTCACTTGTTGGGGTCCTGTTTTTGGTTCTCTGTGTGGTGCTTCTTATCCGTTTGGCTCTTGTCGTTCCTTTCTTCTTTATCCACTTTCTCCCTTTTCGTTTTCATTTTTTTTTTTCTTTCTCCGATGAGGGGCTGATCCACGTTCGCAATTTCGATCACGTCGGTGGGTTTGAATTTTGTGTTGCACGCTGTGCACGCGTTTTCCTACGGTGGGAAAGCAGAGGTCAGTCACACACGGGAGGAAGGATATGACAAATGAGTAAAGAAAGCATATGACGAATGAGTGAAGTGTGGGGGGAAATCACGTCCATGTGGGTTGGGCTTATGATCAGCTTCTGCACCGCCATTCAAAGCTGCACCCCCCTCTTTTACGCACGTACCTTGGCGATGTTCGCGTGACTGAATACCTTTTTGGAGATAACACAGCCACAGGAGAAGAGGCACATGGCCCCGGAGGAGGGGTTAATAATCTCGTTCGAGATGGAGCAAACCAACTTGCTCTGTTCATTCAATTTGTTTCTGCAGAGCACTAAGTCTTTAAGGGAACTGATGTGATTAAACGCTTCGTAGTGCGTATCGTCCATTTTTCGTTTCTTCTTCTTTTTGTCTTGCCTGGCCAAAATGAGGCTCAAGATGTGCTCCGTGTTGTAGAGATAGCCAAGGCGGCAGCAGAAGAAGGGTTCCTTGAGCGATTCCTACGGGGGGGTGGTGATGATGGCTATGATAATCACTTGGTGGGGGGTCTACTCTCTCCAGTCGCAGCCAAACAGGGAATCCTCCGCAAAATGGGCAATCCCAGGTGCTCTCCTCTCCGCTTATCCTCTTGGCTATCCTCTCCCCGTGGCCCCCACCTGCGAGATCGCGCAGTGACTCATGTAATGCTCCTTCAGGTCCTTCTTGTTGCTCCTGCCCTGGTTTACCGTCACGAGGGTGTTCTTGCCGTATCCCAGGCTCCCAGTGCTTTCATTCAGCCTCTTATGTTTCATTCGAACCAAGTCCACTCGCTGAGGCAAACTTCCTCCGTCTCCCCCCATTTTGGATTGGCAGTCCTTCCACTGGGGGGTTAAAGGGGCCAAAAGACTTTTATCCCTTTGGGGCTTCTTAACTTGGCCGAGCTTTTCTCGTGCGGGGGTACGTTACATTCTTATGTGCTGGGGGAACCTTCGTTAAAAAAAAAAAAAAAGGACAACAAAAAAGGAGGAACGGAAAGGAGGAAGAAAAAGGGATACCAAAAAGGGATACCAAAAAGGGATACCAAAATGGAGTAACAGACGAGTGTTACAAAAGAGTATCAAGGGGGGTATTATGTCCTCTTCTCCCTGTTTGCGCAGCACCCCATGTATGTGTCCTTTCCCAATGTGCTGCTTCCTACGTCACTCGCCCGCTTCCAGACTCCCGTGCAGACGTACCAAGTGAGCGAATAAAATACATTGCCCAAATCAGTCGTATGGCTAAACCATTTCGCCTTTTACTTGGCCCACGTGCGCATGCTGGGAAGACTGGGGTGACTCCTTTATGTTCGCAAATAGGCCTTTACACTCTGCGCCGTTCAGCGTTATCGGTTGGCTGACGTAGCGGTTGGCAATTTTTGCGTCCATTAAATCGCCCACCATTCAGGAATTTGTTTTTTTCTTCCTTTTTTTTTTTCTAAGGGCCAACTCAATTGGATAGAACTGTACACGCACGTCACTTTGACAGAGAAACACAAGGGGAAGGAAGAGCGATCGTTTTTGCGCGCGGTGAGCAGCACTCGCAAAGGAGCCAAGTACGAAGTGTGATGGATTAAGCAAGCGGGCAGGGGTACACGTATAAGCGGATACACTCATACACGCATAAACGCATAGACGCATACCCACTCTTGCATTCAGGTTGACCTCCCCGCGCAGGTGAATACGTTTATGCCTGTACACTCGTATTCCCATCGTGAAATCACACGGACAACACCCACACGGGCAGAGCGATCATTTTTTTTTTTCACTCCCCGAAAAATCGTGCAAAAGCTTTGGGGACCCCGCCCCCTTTTCCCCTCCTGGGATCATATTGCCGCATTGAAAAATGGGTGACATTTATACGAAAAGACACAAATACGTGAACAATGGTAAGGCTGTTTTAGGGTAGACAATCGGATAGTGCTTCTAATTTGTCCAAATTTGACGAAGCGTTTGATAACCTCTTACGCTTCATTCTGTGTTGAAGCAAAACCCCATGTGGACACTTGTCCCAAGGGAAGTTCGGAACGAAGGTTGTCTTTTCATTGTTCCTGCTTTCTCCTTCCCTATTCACTCATCGCAGGCGTCGTCATCTACGAATGGGAGCAGAGCATCGACGAGATTAACATTTTCATCAATATGAATTCCAGAGTGGTTAGTAAAAAGGATTTAGACATCGACCTTAGGAGTAAGAGAATTCGAATTGGGCTGAAAGGAATGGAGAGTTTTTTGGAGGGGGAACTGTTTGGCCTTATCGACGAGGGATGCTCCTACTGGTTCATTGAGGACAACAATTTGCACATACTTTTAACCAAGGTGCGAAAGGCAGAAACATGGAGTAGCGTTTTTAAGGGGCACAAATGCATTAACGCCATCGATGAGGATAACACAAGGAAGAAGATTCTTTTGGAGCGCTTCCAGAATGAGTACCCCACGTTTGACTTTTCCTCAGCCGCGTTTAACGGCCAGGTGCCCGACGCGCGCACCTTTATGGGAGGCGTGAAGTACTAGTAGGGGTGGGAAGCACTAGTACGGGCGTGAAGTACTAGGGTGGAGAAAAAAATCGCGCGCCTGAAAAGGTAGCGCCAACCGCTTCTTTCTTTTTTTATCTTTTTTTTCGTGCTGCTGCGCCTATTTGTATAATGCATCGATTATGTAGGCCACAGCGAGGTGATTTCCCCTTTCACTGTAGGGAGCGGCACCCCGCCAACTTCTCCAAAAGAGCACTCCTTCGCTCAAAGAGAGCTTTCGCATGTGTGTCCTCTGCATTCTGCTTCGTGAGGGCAGTTCTTATATTGTTGGCCTGCTGCAACTTCAGCGCCTTTCTACAATTGGTGAAGTTCACGAAGCTGTGCATGCACGTGCCCTCTCGTTCTTCTTCCATTAAGTGGTAATTATTTTTTAGACATCGAAAGAAAATCGATCCGACTAGTCTGCATGGATTTTCTGTCGTTGTGCTGTTTTCCCATATCTTGCTATACATATCAGCCTTGTACTCTTTTGCATCCAAGCTGAGCGTGTCTTCCAGGGTGGGCTTCCCATTGACTATGTCGTGCCATAACATCTTCTCCTTCACGTCGATGTTTTTATTAATGGACAACCCAACAATGTTATAGTTACTAAATAAATTATGTAGGGAGTAATTCAGCTCCATGTTTAGTCTCCTCTTAATGAACCAATTTTTTATTTCCTTTTCGAGTGCTGTTACTTCTCCTTTCAGCTTAAACACCACTTCGTCTTCGCTTTGGAGTTTCTCGATGTTGATGCTCATTTTGACGTGTGCCTATACAACGGGGCTTCTATCTCTGCGCAGGTAGCCGATTGGGGTTGTGCGCGCGATTCGCTGGGATAACCAGGGGAAGCCCTTTCCCGACTGCATAGGCTACAGATACACACGCATAGGTCTCTGTCGGTGTGTATGGGGGGACAACCATTCGTTTGTACATACGGCCAAGCATGCACAGGTGGAGGCGATCCTAACGTGTGAGCATCACAAGAGGGAGGTTTTCACTTCCAACGTAACGTTTGTCTCCTTAAGGGTGTCTGTGAGTGAGGGAAATTACCCATTCGACTCGCTCGCTTGTATGCTTAACCTCGCTTAAAAGATAACGCGGTGTTCCTTTAGGTGGCCGCTTCGACGTGTAATTGGGGAGGTTACAGCGGTAGGGGCAATCCAACATGAGTAACCTTCGCTGGTGAAGTTTTGAGCAAGCGATTTTGTTCGTGCGGGGGTATTACTCCTTTGCGCTGCTTCGCTTCCCTTTGCTTCGCCCTGCTTTGCTTCCCTTTGCTTCTCCCTGCTTTGCTTTTTTTTTTTTTTTTTGTTCCCACGGGTTTTGCCCCTTAAAAGGGATGATTACGTGTCGTGGGGGTGGTACTCTGTGGAGCCGAAAAGGGCCATGCGGGATTGCCAAGCTGGTTAAAAAAAAAAAAAAACGCAACTCAGTTTTTACATAATTTCGTTTTGCCTCCACAGAGTTGCCTTAAAAGAGAATTGCCCCCTTTTCAACTCTCTATGAAGCGAGAAACGCTTGGGGAACACGCCGCCCCAGGCAGCTGCGCTTAAAGGAGAAAATCGCTGCCCACCAGTGATGGAGCTGATTAGGACCCTTTATACTCCGGGTGCAGTAGGCACACCTGTGCTGACTGCCACGTTGGGTCTCCTTTGGAAATGCTGCCCCACGTAGGCCAAGCCTGGAGGAAGAGTTTTTTTTTTATGCGGATGGGTGAGCAGCAACTTGGTTGGAAAAAGGTGAATCGATCTTTTGTTCCCCTCGTGTGAGGGAGCCCCTTTCCGTGCGAAGAGGCCAGAGGAGAGGGGAAAACTGACGTGGAGGCAGTCACCCTATGTGTACATCTGCCGATTCTGTGAAACAGTTGCAGGGAGGGGCACATAGGGTTACTGATTCGGATCCACGTTCGTAAGGCGGTCAACTCCAAAGCAATGGAGTTGATTTTGTTACTTAGATAATTGCCGCATGAGCGTAATTTTTTTTTTTTTCTTGGCGATACCGCTTCTATAGTGAGAGGGATCACTAGGACTAGCTAAAGAACGGCGAATATATAAACTGGGAGGAAGGAAAAAGGCACTAGCTGCTTAATTCGCCTCGCCGTGCGCCGCTTTGCATGGCTGGCACAGCTGGCTGTTCGCCGGTTGGTACTTTGTCTTGGCCTCTTTTCTGGGGTGCCTTAATTTTCGCACGTCTGGGCGAAGGGGGGGCCTTGTCCTGAAGTTCTTCAAAACGGGGGAAAAAATAAGCATACGCATGAAGATAAACATAATCTTGTACGTGCTTTTTCATGTACCCCTTAAGGTGAACCAGAGTGTGAGCCTAAGCATAAAGGTGCGGAAGGAGGGACGACGCGAATTATATCCGTGTGAGGGGGGGAAGTAGGACGATTGAGCCCCCCAGGGGGTAGTGGGGCGACGTTGCAAGATGTACATACACCGCCTCTTCGTTCGGAGGGGGACGCAAAAAAAATATATTCACCTATGTACGTACGTCTGCATTCCCGTTTACACGGGTGTGTGCGTCTTCCTCCCTTGGGACGCCTATGAGTACGCGCTGGCATGACGTGGAGCTGGCCCCTGGGTGCATTTGGATGTAGCGCCGCTTGAGTGCCGCTCCAGCGCCGTTCCAGCGCCACCCCGTTAGCCCAACTTTTTCACCCGGGGAACCCCCAACGCACGGAGGAAACCCAACATGTGCGCGGAGTGTACACGGCGGGGCGGTCGCTTCTGGTGCCATTGCGTCCACTACTCCACGTCACCGTTATTTTTGTATATCATCGTTATTTTTGCATGTCATCGTTATTTTTGCATGTCATCGTCAATTTTGCATGTCATAGTTATTTTTGCATGTCATCGTTATTTTTGCATGTCATCGTTATTTTTGCATGTCATCGTTTTTTTTTGCATGTCATTGTATTTTTTTGCATGTCATGGTTTTTTTTGCATGTCCTCTTTTCCACGTCACTTTTTTCACTTCACTTTTTTCAAGGTCAACTTTTTTAAATCAATTCCTTCCTCCCAATAGAGTTTTGTAATTCCCTTTTTTAAACCAACCTCCAATTTATATGAACAAAAAAGAGTGAGAAAAACGATCCTCATCGTGTTCTTCACCTCATCATGTTTTTCATCCCATGGTATTCCTCACCCCATCGTGTTTTTCACCCCATCGTATTCTTCACCTCGTCGTGTTCTTCACCTCATCGTCTTCTTCACCTCATCGTCTTCTTCACCTCATCGTCTTCTTCACCTCATCGTCTTCTTCCCTAGGAAGTTCACCCAGAGGCATCGTTTGCCCTGTTTTTAATTTTGCACCTTTGTAGAAGTTAGAGGTGAGCGCAGGGTGGTGCGCTTCAGCTAATGTGTGCTTGCCTAGATCCGCATGCCAACACGGGAACGTCTACATCTGCATGCCTACACCTGCATGTACGTATCTCCCAACAACAAGAGCAGAACCGCCCTGTAGCTGCGTGCTATGCCTAGAGTGGAGTAGGACAGCCTGTCGCATTGTTTCCTCTTCCCCTCCCGAGTTAGTAATCCCCCCTTTTTTAATACCCATAAAAGGTACGCTATTTTTTTTAATTAACACCTTTTGTAACGGCGTAGACTTATCATTTTAATTCCTTCCCTAGATGGATGCCCAGTGCTACCACTCCGTCGCGTCCATTGTGTCAGTCCTTTCTTTTTTGAAAGGAGTGAATCCATTTTGGTAAAACACATTCACCCGTCCTTTTTTTCAATCATCCATTTTGTGTGGTAAGGAACGCTGTTCATTCGTGCGCCAACTTCATCTTCCTCAGTTGCGTCATCTTGGCGCGGCAAGAATTCTCGTAAGACCGGGTCGGGAGATGAAAGCATAACACATGTGCTTAGACCTACATATGTATATATGCCCCCGTTAGACATGCACATTTGGTGTTGATTTATCTGATTTGTGATCTACGCAGTGCTAGACAGGGTTCCTGGCAGGGTACGTAACAGGGTGCCCTTACCTTCTATCCACCCCACCATACGTATGCGTACAAACTTAGTCTCCATTTCGTAGTCCCTTGTGAAATGCTACATGAGTACCTGCCTTCGCCTGCACGGCACCCCAAACTGTAGTGCACCCTTCTTTGCACTGCTTTTTTTAAAATTCGTTTCCACCTTTTTGTGTGCAGTTTGCCTGTAGTTACTTGTTCACACAAATGGAACTTTCTCTCCACGTGCAGTTTATGCTCACTTCATACACGTATGATCTACCACGTGGGGGCACTTCTTCAACGTCCATAGATTGACCAGTTTTCCATTTGGGGAAAAATCCGGCTAAACATGTACAGGCCCATTTATCGTTGCTGTGCTATGTGCGTTTAATTTGAGATACATCTCATATCCCATTTGCATGTGCTCTCTCTTTTCATATCTGCGTGCTGTTAAGTTCGAGCGATTGGGGCGATTCACCCTTCTATTCAGATGTCCACACAAGGTGGAGAGGGGATGTCTCTGGAAGCAGCCTACCATTGGTAAATCACCCCCGTTTTGCGGTTTATTACTGCTACGGAGCTTACCACCACGAGGGCTGTCCCCCTATGTGATCTTTTTGATTGTGCCCGTTCTCAATACATGACTACACCGATGTGTCTTCTCCCCCCCTGAAATGGTCTTTTCGCTGCTTACATTTTATGAATTTTTTTCCCTACCTTGTAAAAAACGTTCTGCATGTAGAGACGGGCTTATCCGAAGTGCCTCCTCTTTTTTTAACCCCGCTGTATTTGCAACGATTATTAACATGCCTTGTTAACTTCTTCCTTTTGAATGCACCCGTTTCCTTTGCAGTGCCCGTACCGAGTCGGGGCAACCGGGAAGGACGCTACGCGAACAAGTGAATGGACGTGCACATGTAAAATGCTTACTTATATGTGAGTTTATACACATCACACGAAGGGCTAATCCATACACCCGTCTAGCGGTACCCACTTCCTCCCTCTCATTTTTTCAAATTGTGCATTGAATCCGTTTTGGAAGTTACTCAAAGTAAGATGTAGACATGTATGCTTATGGCAGCTGAACTCATCTTTAGGAGATTGTACTTTTCTGACGGGGGGTCAAATTTATCACGCGAATAGTCCTTCCCCCCCAGCACATGCATCTGCTTCCGTTTCTATCCGTGTGCATAGTCCCCTTGGGGAAATTCCCTGTGCGAGTTGCTCATCAGTGCGCCACTTTGCCTACCAAATAGGGATAACCTACGGGAGAGAAAAAAAATAAAATAAATAAAAAAATAAAGAAAGAAAAAAAAAAAAAAACATATTCTCCGTTGGTGAACAAACCTGTGGTCCCCTCGTCAGGTCACACTCATGTAGTTATTCTTTCCCACGCCCTCCCCCTCTGCCTGCTCAGAGGAAAGTCCCGACCTTTGAGGCCCAGCGTTGGGAGATGTTACGCAAAGTAAGGAGTCTCTCCTGTTTGCATACTCTAATGTGCATGTTTTTTTTTTATTCTTTTTCTCAAGGGGGTACCTTCCCAACGGAGTTGTTTTCCCCCGGGTGAGCAGCACTCAGCGATTTTAAAAACAGCTCGCTCGTTCCTTTATGAATCTACCAATCTGGTGATCTGCACAGAATTTTTTATCCATTCGTGTGTATTCCTTTTTCGACATTATAAAAAATATTCGCCGTGGTTTGTGTACTTTCAGTGAGAAGTTCTTTCTTTTTTTTTTCCCCTTTTTTTTCCTTTTTTTTCTGTTTTTTTCTTCCTTTTTTTTTCTCTTTTTTTCTTCCTTTTTTTTTCTCTTTTTTTTTTTTTTTTT